AATCCCCAGCAGAATGGTGTGGTGGAAAGAAAGCACCAACACATTCTGAATGTAGCCAGGGGTCTTTTCTTTCAAGCACACTTGCCTATGAAACTATGGTCATTTGCTGTTCTTCATGTTGTACATTTGATAAACAGATTGAGCACTCCTCTCCTTAAACACAAAACGCCATATGAAGTGTTGTTTGGCTGTTCTCCAATTCTAACTCACCTCAAGGTGTTCGGCTGCTTATGTTATGCAAGCACCCTTACTTCTAATCGAACCAAATTTATGCCTCGAGCCAGTAAATGCATATTTTTGGGTTTCAAAGATGGAACAAAAGGCTATATAGTCTATGATGTTCAGTCTCATCAATTGATAGTATCACGAAATGTGGTATTTCATGAGCATTATTTCCCATTTTCCAATGATAAACAAGCCATAGATAATCCCTTTTTCATCAAACCTGTCAACTTTCAACAGCTCTTTGATGATCCTTTTATTATCCAGCAAACTCAAACCGATACCCAAGTTATCCAACAGATCCAAACCAATAACCATCAGTCCCTTAATGATCCTATCACAAACACTTCATTACCCATAGCAACTAGACGATCAAATAGAACCCACAAAAGTCCTACCTATCTGCAAGATTTCCATTGCAATATAGCCTTTAATAAAAAGGCTTCACAGTATCCCTTATGATCTGTCTTGTCCTATGACAGTTGCCCAACTTTTCATAAACACCTTTGCCTTAACCTTAGTACCAACCAAGAACCAAATACCTACTCTGAGGCTGTTAAGCATGCTTGTTGGAGAGATGCTATGCAGACTGAACTTATGGCTTTGGAACAAAATAAAACTTGGGCCATCACTGATCTTCCACCGGGAAAGCATCCCATAGGGTGCAAATGGGTGTTTAAGGTCAAGTATCGTGCTGATGGAACCATTGAGCATCACAAAGCACGATTAGTTGCGAAAGGATACACACAGCTCGAAGGTGTAGACTTTCTAGACACCTTCTCACCGGTTCCAAAGATCACAACCATTCGCCTACTGCTTGGTATTGCTGCAGCTCGAAAATGGCACCTGGAGCAGTTAGACGTTAACAATGCTTTCCTCCATGGAGAACTACATGAGGAAGTATATATGTCATTACCTCCTGGCATTCAAGACTCCAAATCCAACAGAGTTTGCAAGCTTCAGCGATCTCTGTATGGCCTAAAACAGGCGAGTCGCCAATGGTATTCACGATTATCTACTGCTCTTATTTCTATTGGTTACTGTCAATCCGAGGCTGATCACTCTCTCTTTATTAAATCTACTGCCTCATCTTTTACTGCTCTAGTTATCTATGTGGATGACATTGTGTTAGCTGGAGACTCGATGGATGAAATCACTCATGTGAAAGAATATCTAGATGCTCAGTTTAAAATAAAGGATCTCGGTCCCCTTCACTATTTCTTGGGACTAGAAATTGTTCGCACAACCAATGGTTTAGTGGTCAATCAAAGAAAATATGCCACTGAGTTGATTGCAGATGGTGGTCTCTTAGGCAGTAAACCATGTTCTACTCCAATTGATGCAGGCATCAAATTGGAACGTAACAAGGGGGATGTGTTGACTGATCCTCACAACTATCGTCGGATGATAGGTAGGTTATTATACCTTACCACTACACGTCCAGATATATGTTATGTTGTCCAACAATTGAGCCAGTATGTGTCAAAGCCCACTCATCTTCATATGCAAGCTGCTCTTTGTGTGTTGAGATACTTGAAAAATGCACCTGGAAAGGAGATATTCTTCCCATTTGACAATTCTTTGATACTGAGTGGTTTTTCAGATGCTGATTGGGCTAGTTGTGTTGATACTAGAACGTCAATCACTGGTTATTGCATTTTTCTTGGTTCTGCACTAGTTGGTTAGCGTGCAAAGAAACAGACTACAATGTCGCGATCATCATCAGAGGCTGAATATAGGGCACTTGCAAGCTTGAGTTGTGAGCTTCAATGGATAAATTACTTACTTAAAGATCTTGGAGTCATTTTATCTCAACCGATTGCTGTGTTTTGTGACAACAAATCTGCGATCTATTTGGCCCATAACCCAAGCTTCCATGAAAGATCTAAGCATATAGAAATTTACTGTCACTTGATACGTGAAAAGATCAACAATGGTTTGATACATTTGCTGCCCATTGCAACAGCAGATCAACTAGTTGATCCTTTTACAAAGGCTTTAGCTCCTGGAGTATTCAAACATTTGATCGACAAGTTGGGGTTACTAGATATCCACCTTCCAACTTGAGGGGGGATGTTGATATATTAAATTATCCACGTGTATATTCAAAGTTAGCTGAGTTAGTTCTTAACTTAAAAGTTAGTTACTTTGTTAGGCTTAGATCTTTTCTGTTACGAAATTTGTTATCTGTTAGCTTTTCTGTTTTAGCTTAGTAGTTCTGATCTTTAATTTTATCAGGTTACTATATATTGAATAACCCTGTAATCTTTTTCATTAGATTCAATAATATGAAACTCTTTTATTTCTTCTCTATTCTCAATAAATCTCTTTCACATTACGCTCCAATACGATTAAACGGACTCTCTTCCATATGGATGTCACAATATTCGTACGATATTGACCACAAAAATAATATTGGTTTGGCACATAAATCTACTAATATTTACGTATAAAATGATGTACATGTGACATATATAGCCCAAGAATGATGTGTAAGTACAACGAATATTTGCCAAAACATTTTCTTTGAGTTCAATCCATAGCGTGATGATTCCAGCGGGGAGGGTGGGAGAGAGGACCTGTCTAAGACATGCGAATGAATGTGAGAGTAAGTGTACTTGTAATCATGCAATTAAGGGAAAAATCCAGCTTCGGTGAGTTACACTCGTGAAGAAACTAATAAACAATGATACTAAATGTCACGAAAACGAATTTTTTTATTGTGCTCTAGGTGCACAATAAAAATTGATGATCCTTTACTAAAAAGGAAAAACTTTCTTTCATTTATATTTCAAGGAAATTTTTCTTTCATTTATATCCCTTTCTTTCATTTAAATCTCCTCTCAATTCTTTCTTCTTTCTAAATTTGGAAAAGGCCCACGAGGGCCCAGCTCATAATAAACGAGCTCCACGAAAACGGGAGATGTGTACGAATGATTCTGATTGATTGATTTTTTATTTTTTATTTTTCAATGACAACCCTTTTACACTTTTTCCGCTCGGGATTTCCGTCTTTCTTTCCATTCATACAATATGTATTCGATGCCATTCATGAAAAATAATTGTCATACTAAATGACATTGCTCATAAAGTGCAACCTGCATACTTCCAATATATATACGGAGATTGGACCGAGCATATTTTCGATACCGTTTTTTGGAGGGTTTAAAATTTTAATCATGAGACTTATCTCGAATTAGACTAGTCAAAAAGCGATGAACCGATTGACATATCTCCAAATAAATATATGGAGATTGGGATGGGAGTAATATTAATAATTATGTTCATAATGTATATATAATTAAAAAAAAGTAACATGTAAACCAAAATTTAGTAGAAGAAAATGTTGTGATTTAATCCGGTCCTAGCAAAATTGCATACATGGAAACACATAGGTCAACAGCTTGGTCTGCTTCTCAAAGGAGAAGTTAACGTGGTGAAGGTTGCTTTCTGACCTAACTATGGAAGAAAATCAAGTCCAATACGTTTTGTGTGGTTTCTAGTTTTGTTTGAATATTTGATTATAAAGCAAAAAAGAAGTTTCATATAAGGACAAGGGCACACTTTTCCGTTCTCAATAATGCTAAAGATTTCAAATTAATAAAAGCTTCCTTGTGAATGTCTTCTTTCTTGAGCGGGAGAAGATTGAGAAATAAACAAGAAAAACGAGTAGAAAGATAATAAGAAAATAATAAATGCTAGCAATATGTTACATGGTTAGTTTAGGACTTAATCATGTGCTGTTTCAAAGTCACGATTTCAATATAATTGGACGAGAAGCCTTCTGCACATATTGGCTTGATTTGGTGTCTGAAATTGACTAATTGTATAATGGTGGGATGCTATCTTTGTTTGTATGTTGAGAAAGTCAGAAACCAAAGTATGGGCTGTCATTTATTAACACTTAGGCATCTAATAAGCCTAGCATTATGCATATTCAATCTGAAAACATCCATTGCTCAATATTGACATGAGAATTAAGAAGACCTACGTATATTACTTATTAAAAGTCAAAGTATCGTTCTTTTAAAAGGTGATTGACCAGCATCACAGATTTTTCCTTTTTCTCATTCTTCTTATTTTAGAAAAGAACATCATGCAGAGATCCATATATTCAGCTTTTCGCACATTTATCAAGCAACGCACATGTTAACTTTATAGCAATTAAAGAAAACAAAGTAAGACCAAATGGGTGGTCGCTCAGTTGGCGCATGGGAGCTGAGCAGGTGGAGTGAGAGCATATGTTCGAATCCCTCTAGTACCACTTTGGGAGGGGTTTAATTAAAGCTTTAAGCCTGGACCCGCCCCGAATCGGATTAGTTGCGAAGCGATGAACCGATTGGAATATTTCCAAAAAAAAAAAAACAAATTAAGAAAACACAATCCCTTTCTAATACTATTAAGAGCAAGACTTAACATCATCCATCCATTATTCATTAATTTATTTTATAAAATTTAATACGCTAATTAATAAAAGTACAAATGAACTCAAAAAATTCTAACAATTCTCACTCAAAATAATACATATGAATACAAAAAGAGAAACCTCTTTTATCATCATCAATAAAATTTAATAACAAAACTCAAATTTACATGTAGTGATCAAATTTTTGTCCCCAAAATCTTGGGTCATTATCTTCCGCCACTACTTCAAGACGTACCAGAGCAGTCAAATAGTTTTTACCATATATCTAAATAACACAACCAGTGCATCCAAAAGGGGCAACACAAGCCACACCTTCAGATAACTAAAGAAAATAGACCAATGTACTAATCAGTTAGTGAGACAGAACAAAGAAGTCACTAATCTCCAAACTCTCTGGAATTTCGAACTTGAATAAGTCACTGCAATAGCTATCTCTCTCTTCCTCAGTGTTGCTGTGCACATGCGTGGATAATGATGAATTCAACTGGTTTGGACTTGATAGAGGCGTGGGTAGAACCGAGTCATAGCTCATGTTTTGGTTTGCATTATTTAAAGAATGGTTCAAAGCTGGATTCTCTAGCAAATCAACTTGGTTTTGTTGCAAGAACAGGTTCTCTCCCAGATAGGAATTATTAGGAGTTGAATTCAGTGGAGAATTTGAACAGCTCAAGTTTGCTGCCATGTTGCTTGATGAGAAGCCTTCAACATTGGGGGTGTGAGTTGGCATTTGAAACTGATTAAACTCAACTTGCGGTGCAACTTGGTTCTGTACTTGTAGATTCTGTGAAGCCAAATCAGGGTTCTCATTTGTGATCGATAGAAGAGAGGCAGTAGCAGCTAGTTTTAACAAATCAGGGTTCATCAAAGCTTGTGCACCCAATAAGCCTTGCAGATTCAAAAGGGACTGGTTCCCTATCATTGACCTTAGAATGGAGGACATGTCAAGTAGGTCAAGGCGTTGGGTGTGAGTAACTGGGTCAATTCCCATTCGAAGCAGCCTCTTCCTTATGTGGGTGTTCCAGTAGTTCTTTATTTCATTGTCAGTTCTTCCTGGCAACCTTGCTGCTATAGCTGACCATCTAAACAAGCCATAAACCATATAGATTAGCATATATAAATACATATAAGTCACCTAATATTGAAACTTTTTTTAGCAAAACCGTTAGAGATATAATATAAAAATTAGGAGAATATGTCATTTTATACTTACCACTCTTATTACCTTTTTTGTTATTGCTAGATTAATTTGATTTTTTTTTCTTTTTTAACCGTTGATTTTAAATTGATTCAATATAACAAAAGAGGTAGTAAGAGTGGTAAATCTAAAATCATGATAAGTATAATCTTCCCCTAAAAACTATTCATGTGCCTTTAGTTAATAATTAAGTTTTTTTTAAAGAGTTAATTGAATGTCATAATATCATAGACTTGAAGCACAAAATGAACTTAGACTTTTGCAATTCTTACTATTCTAATAAAAAGTGAAATTCGTCACAAGATAATTAAGCATATAGAACTTTTGGATAAAAGAATGCTCTAGAGATATAATATAAAAATTATTATTCTCCAAAAAAGAAAAAAAAATTATTCATGTCTTTAAGGTTTTGGGAAGATTAATTGCTTGAAACTATTGAAACTTTAAGGATCATAAATGAAAGAAAAATCATAGACGTACTTGTTTCCCATGACACTGTGCAACTGAATAATAATTTCTTCTTCTTCAAAGGAGAATCTTCCTCTCTTTATATCGGGTCTCAGGTAATTTGTCCATCGAAGGCGGCAACTCTTGCCACACCTTTGTAAACCTTTAACATAATATAATCAACATGTTAATCAGTGAGGAGACAGAACAAGAAAATGATATATCATATACAAAGAGAAATTAACACAATGATTAGGGAAGGCCACAAAGAACAGGTTATACCAGCATTCTTAGGGAGGGCTCGCCAATTGCCTGGTCCATGAATCTGAATGTAGTTGATAAGCTTGAGGTCTTCTTCAGGAGTCCATGGACCCTTCTTGAGTCCAACCTTTTCACAGCAAGGAACTCTTCCCATTTTCCAAGTAAATGATGAGAAGTGAAGTACGGTGGATATATTGTTCCGAAAAGCCAAAAGGGTAGCTATTAAAAGTCCCTGTTCTGGCTTGTGTCTATTTGTCTAATTACAAAAGATAGAAAGAGGGTATCTGAAACACGAAAGTGAAGTTTTGTTGTTGGTCTTAATGGCTAAGACGACCATTGTTTTTATAGCAGAAGAAAGCAGGGATGGAAGTTCCAAGTCAAAAGGATTTGGAACCGGCCATATGCCACATGTCTCTCTCAACGTTGATATGCATGATCGTATATGTGTTTTGTATATACGTATGCAATACATGCATACAGTACATTGCATAAACAATTTATAGCTACCCCATGCATTGATAATTTTAAGAAAAAACAACTATGCATCATTTTTATAATGTGAAGATTAATTTTGATTTTATTACTCATTATAGATCACTGCATATGCATAGGAAGAAATAGAATTTATTATTTATAATCACATACCATCCACGTATGGGACACTGGCATGTGTACCATGGCACGTGATTAGAAGGATGAAGACATGAAAGGGAGCTGACTTTTTTTCATTGGATGTACACACAATATACCATCTTCCTGTGGGACAATGGCATGTGTACCATGGCACGTGACATTAGAAGGACAGGGCATGGCAATTAAAATTTAAAACTGATAAAGACATGAAAGGGAGCTGACATTTTTCTTTTTCATTGTAAAATCGTTGAAGGGATCACATTGAGAAAATGAATATGATTGAACTTTTGAGATTTGACATTTGTTTTGATGTGTTGTGGCCTGTGGGGAATAATGGACGGTACGGTTGTTAAGTCTCCTCATCAACATTTGTAGAAAATATGCTCCACTGTTTCATTTTCATTATATTGCTTCATTTTGGGTTTTCATTTTTCTTCCTTTTGTTCTGATATATGCGTGACGGAATTATGGCGCATTTGTTTCACAAATACTGTATTTATCCTCTCTCTTAAAAAAACAAAGTTACGTACAAACCATTATATATTCCTCTTTGGCCACATCTTGTTGCTCTTAAAAAAAGATATATATATATATATATATATATATATATATATATATATATATATATAGGGGGATTTTTTTGACTCCTATTTAAAATTAAAGAGTCTTACTTCTCATTTCATCTGTTGATTTTTGTCAATGATTATAATTTATTGAGTTATATATATTAATTAATTATTGATTTTTAAAATAATTAAAAGATATGAGAATTGTAATTAAATTGTTATTTTATTCTCATTAATAAAAATTCTTATATTTTATAGTAATTTTCAGCTCAATAAAGAGATAAATTGGAGATGAATGCATTCTTGGGGAGGGGGCTGAACCTTTAGTCATCAATGTTCCCCCGCACTCCGGATTAGTCCCATAGCCGGCTCAAAGAGTCGAAGCTCGTGGGGATACCGGAGGGAGCCAACTCGTCTCAAAGAGATAATTAGGGTTGGGTAACTCCAAAAAAAAAAGAGATAAATTGGAGAGCTCAAGTGGATTTGCTTTGTATTTCTGAATCATATAATTAATTGAAGATGTTATTGAAGATTCTCTTGAATATTTTTAAGGAAAATTTTCCTTTAAAATATAAAAGGGGAGATTTTAAGGATTTGATTAAAGATATGATTGGAGATTCTAGTGAAGATTCCATTGAAGATATTATGGAAAATTAAAAGATATGATTTCATCACTATAAAAAGACAACTCTTGAAAACAGAAATGAGACTAGCACATTCAGAGTACAGAGAAGCTTTTGCTAGAGATTGGAGAAGCTTAGAGAGAGAGGAACTGGAAGAATTTGAGCACCATTGATTTCTTCGTCTTCTTCTTCTTCTTTCTTTTATTTCTTTATTGTGTTTAAACCAGCTATGTTTGGTTAAGTGTCTTTTGTAGTTAGGAATATGGATCCGATGTGAATTCTTATTTTGGTTTAATTCTTTTCATTAATAAATTGTCTCAAATTATTTGTATTTACCTTAATTTGCATGTTTAAATTCTTGTATGATCTGGCCAATTATATAGGGATAAAGAGGGTTAGGGTTCACAATAGACATATTGGAATCTTGATCTAGACAAGGGTAGAACACCAATTCTTGCATGGTCTAAACATAGGCTTGTAGGAATTGCAAACTTTTATAATTCATCGCGCTTAAGGCTTAATCAAAAAGGGGTTTCTAAGACATTAGGATTTCGATTGGGTTAAAGGGTTAAAGAACTAAGATATTAGGATTTAACTAATTAATTTTTAGATAATGAATTGTTTGAAATAATTGAGATAGAATATTATTGAATTGTAATTAAACCAATTAAGGGGGATAGGAGGTGAAGTAAACATAACTGCATTTTTATTCATAATTTCAATTTAATCTTTTTAATTAATTTCTTTTATTGTCATCTATATTTAAATTTTAATTAAATATTGGTTACATGTGAAATCACCTTTGGAATTGTCTAACTTAGATAAAAATGGCGAAACTATTGCTTGTAATTAGTCCTCATGGGAACGATACTCTACTCATTCACTTTATTAATTGTACGATCGTCATATTTGTTGTGTTCACAACAATATGAGATAGGATCCTTTGACACTAATGTCAAATTTAAAGTTTGACACCTCATCTGAGAGCTATTAGAACAAAAAATATCAACGATTCTGATTTGTAAGCATGTGACGCCATTGATCTTTTTTTATCTAACGGCTCTCAGATGAGGTGTCAAACTTTAAATTTTAAATTTGACACCAGTGTAAAAGATCCTACCCATATATATATACATATAGGGGTTATCAAGTCTCGTGTTGAATGAGAGAAAGAATCTTATGTCATAGACACATAGTGATAGGGCCCACCCCTTAAAAAATAAAAAATAAAAAGGTTGCATGGTTATCGAAGGATGTGTAGGAAGAATATATATATATAGGGTCAACTCATTTTACACCAGTGTAAGTTATACTTTTAACATTGACCGGAAGTACATTAGGTTACACTATGTACTTTCATGTAATTTGCAAAAATTTGTAAAAAAAAGTTTGTAAGAAGTACATAGTGTAAGTTAATGTACTTCCGGGAGTACATAGTTTAGTTTGTAAATATAACTCACCCCATATATATATATAACATATATATATATATATATAACATATATAACTACATAGTTATAACGTTAAAGTTGCATCTTTTTTTCTCCACCCAGTTACTTTTCAGAACTTGTCTGCTGCCGTGAAAAGAGAAAAAAAATAGATTTAACATTATAATTATATACTACATGTAGTACATAGTTTAAAGAGGTAACTTGAGATAAACTTATCTCAAGTGGCTGAAGAAATATTTTTTTACATTTATATATATATAGAAAAATATTTCTGCAGTTTCTACAGATAAGTTATCTGCATTTACTCCCAAAACGACGTCGTTTTGAGATTGAAAGATTTAAAAATTATAATTATAAAGACTATAATAACCCTGAAATAAATTAAAATTACAAAAATACCATGATTTTTGTTCCAAAATGACGTCGTATTGGGCTTATTGCAGATAACTTATCTGCATTAACTGCAGAGTAATAAACATATATATATATATATATATATATATATGTAAAATCATTTCTGCAGCCGCTTTACGTACAATAACGACAGGTGCATGGTTATGATTACCCACATTTAATGCTTTCATCCTTTGTATGATTATGATTCCCCGCATTTAATTTTTTCAAGTATATATATGGCAAATATTTGATTGTTGCACGTACAGCAGCTGCAGAAATATAAACCCCCCCCCCCACACACACACACACATATATATAGGGTCAGGATCATTTTACACCAGTGTAAGTTACACTCTCATTCTTATCCGTTAATTCCATTTATATCTAACGGCTCAAATTTTTTAGTAATGTGAGCCATTGGAGACAAGTGGATCAATGGTCAAGATTGAGTGTAAGACTTCTAACTCTTACACCGGTGTAAGAATATCCTGCCCCATATATATATATATAGGACATGTTCCATTTACAACTTTTTTTTTAACAACTCTTATAACTGGAGGTGGCAATATGGGTTGAACCGGACAGGTCAACCAGTCAAAATAGGGTGGGTTGGGTTACACATCTCAACCCACCAACCCACCCCGCTGGGTTGTGTGTCAAAATGGGTTAGCTGCGGGTCCCGATCTGATTTTTTTTTACTATTAGGTAGTATTTTTTTGTTATTAAGCTTTTGTGATATCCAATTTTTTTATCTTAGTACTCCCCTAAAAAAATAAAGAAGAAGTTTTTTATTTATAACAAAGATTATCCATATATAAAGGTAAAAATGAGTTCCTAAAGAATATCTGATTGAATACTAACATACATTTACAATTGAGATTGAAAAAAATTAAGGAGAGTGTGAAATGAAATTAAGTAATATTAAAAATATGTAAAATATAATTTATTTTTGAATTTTAATTATTTTTTATTTTTTAAATGGTGGGTTGACCCGCCAACCCACCATAAAACGGGGCGAATTAAATATTTGAACGCACATTCAAAGGCGGGCTAACCTGCCCAGCCCCATTTTTGGCAGGTTGGTGGCGGGTCGAGGTGGGCCAACCTATATTGCCACCTCTACTTACATCCTCAACTATATACTCCGCTACGCTCTCAAGTATTTATACTCCCCGAAATATATAGTTGAGGTTATAAACAAACAAAAAAATTGTAAACATAACCATTCCCTACACACACATATGTATATATATATATATATATATGAGCTTATCATTTCTCAAGCTGCTTGAGATAATGTTATCTCCGGCTACTAAATCATAACCATAAAAAGATGGATCAACGGTGATAAAGGAAGAGAGAGAAAAAGAGAATCATAATCATTCAAAGGTAAATCAATTAATACAAGAAAATAAATAAACAAAACGACATAGTTTTGGGGTGGCCGGAGATAAACTTATCTCAAGCAACTTAAGAAATGTTTTTCCC